AGTTCCTTGATGGAAGGTGTTGATCCCAAAACTATCCACCGGGATGGTTGATCGGAGTTATGCCTCAACCACCAATGGGGGTGTTCTTACAACACAAGTTGAGGACCGAATGGTCTCTGGTGTTGGACCATTCGATCATAAAGTTAAATAGGATTGATTGAGAGTGATTATATTTAGTTGGGAATAGTCAACTTATCTTGATGATATCCAACTTGACCTTTCTATAGGCCAGAAGATTGGACCGTTGGAAGATCCTCAACTATTATTGAATGAGGCAGCACCAAAACTAGAACAGATAATAATGTCCTCTAGTGTGGATATCTCAACTAGTTTGAATCAGTCAAAAAGCTCGGAGCTACTAAGCTAGGACATTGGCGAGCTGGCGGGCAAGGAACTTTTGGTTGTACCTTTCTGAACTATGAAGCTCCTCATCTGAGCAGCAAAGCTCCTTTGTCGAGCCCATGTGTAATTTACCATTATCAGTTGCACCTTAATTCGAACGACTGAGTTGTATTTGCAATGAATTTAATGCACTTGTTCGTTAGCGCATAGGGAAGTGGGAACGGCGGTCGTGTGTAGGCAACAACTAGAGAACCGTTGTGGGCCATGTATATAAAATATACTTCTCTACTGCTACCCAACACGTCTTTGCATTTTTTTGTTTCATTAAAAATCCTCATCCAAGAGTATATAGGTTAGAGCCATACTTTTCAGTTTCATTTTTATCACTTTTGTTTTCTTCGATGAAAGAACTTCAATCTTGTTCATCTTGAATCCTTTGTAGATATGTCTGTTCAAGCTCGGCTAGAATTTTGTGGTTGATTTTTGCGTTTCTTTGCTCATTAGCAGCCCTAAGTGTCCCTTTCCACCAAATTTGTACATCAATCACCGTAACTATCCTATTATGGCGATCGATTCTAAGTACACACCTTTTGGGAGTACTCCATCGTTAGTTTCCTAGGCCTATGTGGCCAGTGAGGACTTTAACTCCATTCTGGAGATTGGCTCTGCGACATGGGAGGACGTTTTAAGGCTCATGAAAGAGGCTAAGAAGACCCTAGGCCACCTCTCTGCTATTAAAAAGGATCGGGATAAGACTCTGAAGGCCAGGAATGAGCTGGTGGCTAAGCTAAATAACTCTATGGTAAAGTCGAGCTGTCTGTGAGGAGCAAATAACTGAAAAAAGAAAAAAAAGCTCTTTCTCAAAAAATCCTTGACCTCTCCTTTAACTGGAGCAAAAAAGAGCTTGAAGCTAAGTTTGTTGGGGAGGCTGTCATAACAAAGTATCAAGGCTCCAAGGACTTCAAAGAGGAGGTTCTTAAATACTATGTGGATAGCTTCGAGGATTTTAGGAAACGTGCCTAGAAGAAATTTTTTCCAGCTTAGACTTCTCAAAATTCATTCTAGGAGATGATGCAACAACGGTGGCTAGTGGAGACAAAAAGGAAGGGGATGGAGAAGAGGAGAGCAGTAAGCCTCCTAGAGATAAGGAGGAAGGGAAGGGTGTCAATGAAGCTGTTGAGGAACAACCCGAGCTAGTTAAGGAGACCGTGGGGGATACTATTGACTCGACTGAGGAGAGGGAGGCAAATGAAGTGCCCAGGGAGGCTACTATAGGTGCTAATCCAGCCAAGCAGATCGAGGAGGCGATCTGACTAAATAAGGCGGTAGGCTTTTTGTCTTGCAATCTCCTTCTCTAATGGTGGAAGTATCTTTTTAATGAAAAATCCCTCCTTCAAGCTTGCACGACTTTTATGTTATGTTTACTTCATCTTCTTGTGTCCAGTTTCTTGAGCTGGTATTGGTTTAACTTGAATCCTTTTGCTCTTTTGTTGGGGGCTCTTGGACCCCATCCGAGCTAGGTTTCGTGACTTGTACTACCACAGAGTCTATTGGACTCAATATGACTTGGGCTTAATGTCTTGCTCTTCCATTGAGCCTCTTGGACTCATTCCGAGCTAGGCTTAAAGAGAAGCTGAAGAGCCCATTATCATAAAGTAGCTTAGCTTAACTGAATTGCTATCTTAGTGATGTTGAAAAGACGTGTATGTGACAGTTATAACTTAAAGTTAATTACTTAAAGTTAATTAAATTCTAAAAAAAATACCTAGAGCCAAATATCAGTACTTAATATTAGAAGAATGACATAGAGCTGAAAAGCCCATTTCCAGCAGATCTAAACTAACACTCATGGCCCATGGACAGCAATGAGAAACCATGCCCAGCAAATTCTAAAACCCACCATATTACCTTTTGACTATCAGTAACTTTGTTCCATTAAAGCATCAAGTGTACAGCGTAACTTTGTTCCATTAAAGCATCACAATTCTGATTTCTTATATTTTACAGATAATCCTGACGCCCCTAGTGTTAAGACAAGACAAAACTTTGAAAAGGTTTGATTTTTTGGGAAAGACACGTGTTTGAAAGGTTATGATTTTTGAGGAAAGGCACAAACAAGTCTAAAAATTGGGTTTTAGAGTTAAATTATAAAGGCATGCTCTCACTCCATATCTTCTCAGAATAAACCCTCTTCAATAAGATTTTTTCGAAAGTTTTTTAATATCACTAGTTACAATTCTTCACTCAATAGGTTTTGTTGCATTTTGACGAGGACTTTGTCGCTAATCCGTTAGCAAACTCTTATGAACAATGGCAAATTATGTTATAAGAAAGTGTCTTCAGACACTTATCAAAGCCTTTCTCTTTTGACATAGTGTATTTTAGTCCTGTTCAATTGTAGTTCAACATAGATTCAGAGATGATGCTCCACCAATTCTTCCGTCAGCTCCAAGTAGAAACAATAACCTGACTTGAACAGTGGAGAGTCTTAGATTGACACCACATTGGTATCCCTAAGTTCTATTACTTAATTACTTCACTTGTATCGTGTGGGATCATGTCATGCCATAGTCATACTGCCACTTTTATTGTGATCTAGATTTTGGTAATAAACAAAACTCAATCATAAGGTGAAGAAAAAAATTGATGAACAATTTTTCTCAACTTGCCAATTATTAGAACATCACCCCAAAAATACTGCCAGTAAGAGCAGCGTTTGGAATATTGACTGAAAATAATTTTTGTCCCAAAAGCATCATTTGACCAATTCTTATCCCTTAGTTTAAACAATATTTTATGAGTTTTACTGCTGAATCATATTCAAAAAAGCATGATAAGATTAAAAGTATGACTGCAGAAGCCAAAAAAAAAACTTTCCATGCTCCAGAGCATTATGTTTTTTCCTCACAATTTGGATCCAAGTACAACTTATATTGCAAATTCTAATTATTGTTTTTATAGATGGGATTGAGATTAAATGTTTTAAAGTAGTTAGGGATGGCGGTGGACTGGAAAAAAATAGATATTCGTCTAAACCTATTCCGTTTAGACTGGAGATGGACGAAATATATTGGACGGTGGTTGTATACGAGAATACTCGTATAAACCCGCACGGGTATGAAGCAAAGGATGGATTGACACTCCGGCCCACCCCACCCCCACTCACCTGTGATAAACCCCAATCTCATTTCCACCTACCTATAAAATTAATTTCAAAATTCAGTGATCCATTTTTTCTTCTTTATTCAATAATATATATTATCTTTGTATTCTTTTTAATCGCTTTTGTTATATCTATGATCCTTTTTGTTAGATTTGTGATGGGTTTTGCTAGATCTAAGGGTCTTTGTTGTGTTAGTTATTAAAGATTTTTGTTTCGGATCTATGAGGTGTTAGATACAAGGTTTTTAGATATTGCTTGTTCTNCCCGAGCTAGTTAAGGAGACCGTGGGGGATACTATTGACTCGACTGAGGAGAGGGAGGCAAATGAAGTGCCCAGGGAGGCTACTATAGGTGCTAATCCAGCCAAGCAGATCGAGGAGGCGATCTGACTAAATAAGGCGGTAGGCTTTTTGTCTTGCAATCTCCTTCTCTAATGGTGGAAGTATCTTTTTAATGAAAAATCCCTCCTTCAAGCTTGCACGACTTTTATGTTACGTTTACTTCATCTTCTTGTGTCCAGTTTCTTGAGCCGGTATTGGTTTAACTTGAATCCTTTTGCTCTTTTGTTGGGGGCTCTTGGACCCCATCCGAGCTAGGTTTCGTGACTTGTACTACCACAGAATCTATTGGACTCAATATGACTTGGGCTTAATGTCTTGCTCTTCCATTGAGCCTCTTGGACTCATTCCGAGCTAGGCTTAAAGAGAAGCTGAAGAGCCCATTATCATAAAGTAGCTTAGCTTAACTGAATTGCTATCTTAGTGATGTTGAAAAGACGTGTATGTGACAGTTATAACTTAAAGTTAATTACTTAAAGTTAATTAAATTCTAAAAAAAATACCTAGAGCCAAGTATCAGTACTTAATATTAGAAGAATGACATAGAGCTGAAAAGCCCATTTCCAGCAGATCTAAACTAACACTCATGGCCCATGGACAGCAATGAGAAACCATGCCCAGCAAATTCTAAAACCCACCATATCACCTTTTGACTATCAGTAACTTTGTTCCATTAAAGCATCAAGTGTACAGCGTAACTTTGTTCCATTAAAGCATCACAATTCTGATTTCTTATATTTTACAGATAATCCTGACGCCCCTAGTGTTAAGACAAGACAAAACTTTGAAAAGGTTTGATTTTTTGGGAAAGACACGTGTTTGAAAGGTTATGATTTTTGAGGAAAGGCACAAACAAGTCTAAAAATTGGGTTTTAGAGTTAAATTATAAAGGCATGCTCTCACTCCATATCTTCTCAGAATAAACCCTCTTCAATAAGATTTTTTCGAAAGTTTTTTAATATCACTAGTTACAATTCTTCACTCAATAGGTTTTGTTGCATTTTGACGAGGACTTTGTCGCTAATCCGTTAGCAAACTCTTATGAACAATGGCAAATTATGTTATAAGAAAGTGTCTTCAGACACTTATCAAAGCCTTTCTCTTTTGACATAGTGTATTTTAGTCCTGTTCAATTGTAGTTCAACATAGATTCAGAGATGATGCTCCACCAATTCTTCCGTCAGCTCCAAGTAGAAACAATAACCTGACTTGAACAGTGGAGAGTCTTAGATTGACACCACATTGGTATCCCTAAGTTCTATTACTTAATTACTTCACTTGTATCGTGTGGGATCATGTCATGCCATAGTCATACTGCCACTTTTATTGTGATCTAGATTTTGGTAATAAACAAAACTCAATCATAAGGTGAAGAAAAAAATTGATGAACAATTTTTCTCAACTTGCCAATTATTAGAACATCACCCCAAAAATATTGCCAGTAAGAGCAGCGTTTGGAATATTGACTGAAAATAATTTTTGTCCCAAAAGCATCATTTGACCAATTCTTATCCCTTAGTTTAAACAATATTTTATGAGTTTTACTGCTGAATCATATTCAAAAAAGCATGATAAGATTAAAAGTATGACTGCAGAAGCCAAAAAAAAAACTTTCCATGCTCCAGAGCATTATGTTTTTTCCTCACAATTTGGATCCAAGTACAACTTATATTGCAAATTCTAATTATTGTTTTTATAGATGGGATTGAGATTAAATGTTTTAAAGTAGTTAGGGATGGCGGTGGACTGGAAAAAAATAGATATTCGTCTAAACCTATTCCGTTTAGACTGGAGATGGACGAAATATATTGGACGGTGGTTGTATACGAGAATACTCGTATAAACCCGCACGGGTATGAAGCAAAGGATGGATTGACACTCCGGCCCACCCCACCCCCACTCACCTGTGATAAACCCCAATCTCATTTCCACCTACCTATAAAATTAATTTCAAAATTCAGTGATCCATTTTTTCTTCTTTATTCAATAATATATATTATCTTTGTATTCTTTTTAATCGCTTTTGTTATATCTATGATCCTTTTTGTTAGATTTGTGATGGGTTTTGCTAGATCTAAGGGTCTTTGTTGTGTTAGTTATTAAAGATTTTTGTTTCGGATCTATGAGGTGTTAGATACAAGGTTTTTAGATATTGCTTGTTCTNCTAGGCCTATGTGGCCAGTGAGGACTTTAACTCCATTCTGGAGATTGGCTCTGCGACATGGGAGGACGTTTTAAGGCTCATGAAAGAGGCTAAAAAGACCCTAGGCCACCTCTCTGCTATTAAAAAGGATCGGGATAAGACTCTGAAGGCCAGGAATGAGCTGGTGGCTAAGCTAAATAACTCTATGGTAAAGTCGAGCTGTCTGTGAGGAGCAAATAACTGAAAAAAGAAAAAAAAGCTCTTTCTCAAAAAATCCTTGACCTCTCCTTTAACTGGAGCAAAAAAGAGCTTGAAGCTAAGTTTGTTGGGGAGGCTGTCATAACAAAGTATCAAGGCTCCAAGGACTTCAAAGAGGAGGTTCTTAAATACTATGTGGATAGCTTCGAGGATTTTAGGAAACGTGCCTAGAAGAAATTTTTTCCAGCTTAGACTTCTCAAAATTCATTCTAGGAGATGATGCAACAACGGTGGCTAGTGGAGACAAAAAGGAAGGGGATGGAGAAGAGGAGAGCAGTAAGCCTCCTAGAGATAAGGAGGAAGGGAAGGGTGTCAATGAAGCTGTTGAGGAACAACCCGAGCTAGTTAAGGAGACCGTGGGGGATACTATTGACTCGACTGAGGAGAGGGAGGCAAATGAAGTGCCCAGGGAGGCTACTATAGGTGCTAATCCAGCCAAGCAGATCGAGGAGGCGATCTGACTAAATAAGGCGGTAGGCTTTTTGTCTTGCAATCTCCTTCTCTAATGGTGGAAGTATCTTTTTAATGAAAAATCCCTCCTTCAAGCTTGCACGACTTTTATGTTACGTTTACTTCATCTTCTTGTGTCCAGTTTCTTGAGCCGGTATTGGTTTAACTTGAATCCTTTTGCTCTTTTGTTGGGGGCTCTTGGACCCCATCCGAGCTAGGTTTCGTGACTTGTACTACCACAGAATCTATTGGACTCAATATGACTTGGGCTTAATGTCTTGCTCTTCCATTGAGCCTCTTGGACTCATTCCGAGCTAGGCTTAAAGAGAAGCTGAAGAGCCCATTATCATAAAGTAGCTTAGCTTAACTGAATTGCTATCTTAGTGATGTTGAAAAGACGTGTATGTGACAGTTATAACTTAAAGTTAATTACTTAAAGTTAATTAAATTCTAAAAAAAATACCTAGAGCCAAATATCAGTACTTAATATTAGAAGAATGACATAGAGCTGAAAAGCCCATTTCCAGCAGATCTAAACTAACACTCATGGCCCATGGACAGCAATGAGAAACCATGCCCAGCAAATTCTAAAACCCACCATATTACCTTTTGACTATCAGTAACTTTGTTCCATTAANTTAGAGTAGTCACGCCGTCATGAAGTTAGATGGTGTTGTTTTATTCCCAAGATGCCATGAATAGGGGAGAGAGAGAAACAGTGGAGAGAGTAAGAGATGCTACTAAAATATTAATTTCGTTTAAATTTTAAATGGTAGATAGAGTTCAAGGAATATTTAAAGTCTAAAATCTAATGTTTAGATATTTGAAAACATAGAAACTAGCAATCAGGTAAACAATATTTATTGTAGAGACTTGAAATAATTGTGAGTAAAAGGAGATACTCAAATTAAGAGTAAAACCCCGNGGCAGTCGACATACCTTTCCAGCCCCCTCACCACGAAAGTCCGGTGGTGCATCCATATAAATAATCTCGTCCAGATCACCGTGAAGAAATGCATTCTTCACATCTAATTGATGAAGAGGCCANATGAAAAAATTTGGAGTTATGGCTTTATATCCCTAATTCAACTCTTGCAAGAGAGCACTGGTTTATATATACAATGCATGTTGTTGAGATTGCTATCCAAAAAACGCTAGTGAGGTTAGTGAGCGCCCCAAACTTGATGCTCATCGTGGGAACTATGAAACAAAATCCAACTTTTGGTGGATGTTTATTTAATTGATGAAACATGGTGGCTTCCACATGGGATTCCATTCAATCAATGGTCCACTGTGTCAACATTTTTCTAATTTTATTTTTATTTTTTTTCTTTTTAGTATGTGTCAGTGAATGCGTCTCTGACGGGTCTTGCGTGGTACTTGGAATAAGTGCTTTTCATTTTCTTGTAGAAAAAATTATACTTTGACCCCTCAACTGTGTCTCACATATCACATTATTCCCTTAATTATCATGTTTGTCATATCGTACCTCCAATTAAAGTTAGTATTTTCATATTTCCCGTCCAAATTATAGTAGACATTTTATCTAAGGCAATGTGAAACAAATTCAAGTAGTTCAAGGGATTATGTAAAAAAGTAAAGAGTTCATGGGGCAAAGTGACATAAGAGCCGAAGTTAAGGGTGAAGTATATATATAAGACAAATCTAAAACAAATCTTCAACTTCTAATTATAATAGTACTTTATGTTAGTGTCCTTTGCTTAATAAGAAACAACGCTCAAGCAAAAACATATTTGCCTTCAACATTTGTCGCCTTGGTCCTCTGATTGGCATGCCCAGATCTTTGGACTGGCTGCATTATCAGTGGGTTTGGCTTTTAAATTTTTTATTATAGCATTATGACTCTTTTGTGATATGTCGCCTCAGCTGAGTTAGCAATAACAGTACTCTTTAGTTCCTATTATACATATTTTATAATGCTTCTTAGATTTTACTAGAAAATTCCTACGAAACCCATTTGTTTGAAACATATCATTATTCTTTGAAGGGTCATTTTCTGTACTTGCCATTACTTTGGCTTTCGTATTCAAATTCACTAGCATAATTCAATCAAATTGCTTGGTTATGCAGCTGCCCAATTTATAATGGGAGGTAAGAAACTAGTGGAAGAGACTAATATGAAGCTTATATACATTTATACTATTTAAACACCACATTTCTGGTGGGTACACATCCCAACCCTAGTAAATATGCATGACACGGTAAACAAAACAAAATTAGCTATCACCCCTCTATAATTAGGTTTGATAATTACGTATCAAACCTTCAGGCTCTAGTGGGGCAATCCTTATCAAGCTTTCCAGCGGTGGCGGCGGCGGTGGTGGCTCTGACGTACTAGCCTGGCTACATCCCACAATCTTTTGGCATGTCTCCAGCAGACAGTGCCTGCAAGTAGGGCACGAGGAGTGTGTGTTGAGNAGCTTGGGCCAGGAAATTAAGGCCGAAACAGTGATTAAAAATTTACCCGTGGACGGAGATAGAGATGAAAACTATACCTGTTTACGGAAGTGGATCAAAGATAAACAAAATTTTTTTAAGTAAGTACAGAGACGAAGATTACATCCCGCCTCCATTTTGATCCACTTCCATCCCTAAAGATAGTGCTCTGAGTGGTTGGTACGAGGACAAAAGATAAGAATTAATGAAGCATCATGATATCTCTTAAGACTCCCACTCAAACCATAAATAATTGTGACATTGTCTTTTTCCTCTCNTTGCTGCAACTGGAAGTGATGCAATACGGACTCGACGCTCATGCTGCTCAATTATCCCATACACCTCATAAAGAGAAGGAAGTGTCAACATCGACAAGATCTGAGAACGAGGTCCCTCAAACTCATCACGAAGCCCCATAAGGAACTTGTGAATCCTATCCTCCTGCTCTCGAGTATGCAAGAATGCTGCTCCCTCGGGCTCTATCTTCGGAATAGCAGCAAGAGGACGTAGAGACTCATACTCAAGCCAGCGCTGGGTCAAATAGCCATAATAATCCTGAACGGTCATATCTCCCTGCCGAGCATATGAGAGCTCCTGAGAAAGCTCATAAACACGAACTCCCCGTCCTGACTGAGAATACATCTCTGATAATGCGCTCCATAGCTTCGGAACAGAGCTATGAAACTG